CATGTACAACACACACACCACACACCACACACCACACCACACACACACACACACACACACACACACACACACCACCTCCCCTAGTGCCTTAGCAGAAACCATTCTTTCTGTTGGCGACAGTCTCCCCCAAGCATATAACCGGAGGTGGTTAATTCAATTAGTTCCCCATGCCTACTCTCCTCTCTCCATGGTTGCACAGTCCTTGCCATTATCTGAAGGGATTGTTTTCCCTTATTTACCGCCTGCCTCCTTCCTAGAGCCCTGCTTCTCAAACAATGTCCCCTTGGGATATTACACTGCTGACATCTGTGATGGATTCCTAACACCCCCATGGACAGAGTCTATGATACTGCCCAGCACCCCCACAGAGCATGGGATATTTGGCAAAAGAGTGTGACCTGGCCACAAATGTCCTCATTTGGGAAGAGCTGACCTAGAGTCAACCTTGGAAAGATAAGACTCCCAAGGGTGGGTAATCCACAGCCTCAAGGAGGAGAAAGAAGGGGAAAGTGAAGGAGGGCAGTGTTCAGCCTGCAATTTCAGTCAGCAGCCTGGAGGAGGCGCCTGAGAGCTGGAGGAGGTTGCCAGATATGGCTGTGAAGGCACCATGATTTCTCAGCACTCTGGGCTCGACACAGCAGGGACACTGCTACCACCCCACATCATTCCTTGCAGAGTCCAAAAGACTGCATTTGCTGTGGGTGGTGCCCAGTGGGGGCGAGAGGTAGAGAGGAAGAGGGACAGAGGGGCCGTGAGAGCAGAGCATCTGACTCCATCCATCCTGACCCAGCCTGAGGCCTGCTAGCTTGTTGGCTCCCCGCTGGCAGCAGTTGGGGGGAGGGAGCTGTGCACACCCCGCTGAGAAGAGTTGCATTTTTCTCTGCTTTTGATGCTGTAGAAGGAGCTGCTGGCTGGAAGGAAAGAGCCCCCCTCGGCAGGTCTGAGCTCCTGAGTGGCTCTGTAGCACCCCCTGGGGGAAGAGTAGAGAATCACCACCCAGGGAGGGCTGCAGCAGGCAATGCTGGGCAAAAAACAAGAAACACATCCTTGACTGAGCAGCTAGAAGCTTCAGGCAGGAAAGGGGAGGGAGCTGTTTTAAGATTTAATAGTAGTAGTAGCAATTACATGGTGTGTGTGTGCATGTGTGTGTGTGTGTGTGTGTCTGTGTGTGTGTGCAGGGCCACCCACAGAGATCAGAGGAGTTCAGGCCCCTGGAGCTGGAATGAGACACCTGATGTGGGGTCTAGGAATCAAACTCAGGTTCTCTGCAAGGAGCCGTGCCTGCTCTTAACCACTGAGCCATCTCTACTCACATCCTAGAGTGAGGGGCTAGGGAAGCCCAGATTTCAGGGACTACAGCGGTCAATGGAGGTCCGCCCACTGGCCATGCTGAGGTGGGAGAGTTGGGGGCCACCCTTACTGGGAGCTCTGCTAGTGACCTTGGCTCTGCGCTTAGACAGCCTCCCCACTCCACCCCCAGACAGAAAAACCTGAGTAACTAGCACATGGCAAAAGAGTCTCCCACACTGTAGGGCACCAGGGTTGGGGTCCAGGGCCACTGGAGACTGGGGTGAGCCTGGCAGTCCCACACACAGGAATTGCCTCCTCCTGGCTCTGGAATGCAGCAGAATAGGTTGGGCTACCTGCAGAGGGGCAGGACTGCTCCACAACAGCCTGCTGGAAGGATCACCCTGAGGCTCTGTGGAAGCCAGGGATCTCCAACAGCATCTTCCCAGCAACCATGGAGGACAGCGAACAGAGACCCCCTCAAGGTCCTAAGAGACAGGGTGGTTGATGAGAGCAGAGTAGTGTAGCCCTCCGCGTGTTCTGCCTGCTTTGGCTTCCCCACACCCCATAGGCAGCAGCAGAGGGGAGGAGGGACACACGAGCAGTCTAGTGCCGATACCTTGAGCTGTAACTTACATGCTGTGGAATTCACCCTCTCAGTGCACTCGGCTCACACAGGGCTGCACCCATCACTTCTGCCTAGCTCCGGGGCCTTTACATCACCCCTAAAAGAAGTCCTATGGTGCTGGTGTCACCCCCACTTCTCCTTCTCTCCTGCCCCAGTAGGCAGTCCCTGCTGTCTGTGGACTTGCCCAATGTGAACCCCTCCTTGTGGCTTGTGGGCCTGGCTGTTTTCACCTGGCACAATGGCTTGGGGTTCATCTGGGTGTAGCAGGTGTCAAAGCACTTTACCTTTTTATGGCTGAGTAACATTCCATCATGCAGACACACCACGTTTCAAGTACCTGTTGTGGACTGGTTGGCCTTTGTGGTTGGTGCCGTGTGCACACTGGTGTACTCCATTTGTGTGGATGGTGCCGTGGGCACACTGGTGTACTCCATTTGTGTGGGTGGTGCTATGTACATACTAGTATACATCATTTGTGTAGATGGTGCTGTGTGCACACTGGTGTACACCGTCTGTGTGGATGGTGCCGTGTGCACACTGGTGTACTCCATTTGTGTGGATGGTGCCATTTGTGTAGATGGTGCTGTGTGCACACTGGTGTACACCGTCTGTGTGGATGGTGCCGTGGGCACACTGGTGTACTCCATTTGTGTGGATGGAGCCATGTGCACACTGGCGTACACCATTTGTGTGAAAACCTGTTTCCAGCCTTTAGATCCACATCCAGGAGTGGGGTTTCCGTGTTGCCTGCCAACCTGAGGTCCAGCTTTTCACTGTTTCCATGGTGCTTGGCCCTCTGCCTCACCTGCGTGTGGCCCCTTCATATGCTCTTGAGCACAGAGCAGTCTTTAGATGCTGAGCAGTGAGAGGATAGCCTCAGCTGTCTCACTTCTCCGTGTCTGAGGAGACAAAGGTTCCAGCAGTGACCACTAGAAACCATGGGAGGCTGACACAAAACAGCCCTGGCCAGAGCAGAGTGGCCAGCGATGACTTTGACCTCAATGGAGAATGAAGGGATTTGGGCTCTGGGTTTCAATTTATCCTGCTCCCCATAGTGACCACCTCAGAGAGCCCAGAATGAGTAGGAGGCATGCTTACAGCCTTGTGGGTAAGACAGTCTCAATACTCACTGGGCAGCGCCTGATGGGAAGGTGGGGGCTCCCAGGTGTGGGCTCAGCAGACCTACAGAACACAGCTCGGTGGACAACAGCGGGTATGTTGGGAGCTGCATACGTGGAGGTGCTGGGGAAGCTTTGGCGCTTTCTAGGGCAGGCCAACCGATGCATTATTGATGGGTGTTCTGCAGAGTTTGCATGCTGGGCTGCAGGGAGCTGAGCGAAAGCCCTAGGGATGCTGCTTTCTAGTTGTCTTCCTGCTCTCAAACTCAAAAACGGTTAAATCGCTTTCCTAATGAAGTCACTGCAGCTCCATCGCTGACACAACTCCAGAGGCCCCTGCCCTGTTCTCTGTACCCAGTGGGAACTGGGGAGGGGTGCCACAGGAAAGCAATTGGCCAGTAGGGGTGACCCTGAACACAGCATGCCCAATGTACTCAGCACCTCCTTCTAGCTCCATGGAGGGATAATACAGGGGCAGAGACTACCAAACTGAGACCCACTGGGCTCAGAGGCAGGCAGTAGACTCTAGAGTCCGCCCGGCTGGCCTGCTTCTTCTGAGTCCTTCCAGTATTTCTCCCATCTTGCAGGACCAGCTTCCCTCCCAGGGTCCTGCAGTCCACAAGCAAGTCCAGCTCCCCCTCTAGTGGCAGGCTGATGTACACACACATGCACACTATACACATATGTACAAAGACCTACAGGTGTGTACATACATGAATACATACATACACATGCATACAGGTTACACATATTCCTACATGTCCGCAGGCATTGATGTGCAAGCATACACATGCAAACATATGTTCATGTACAATAAGCATATGCCTCTATGTTTCTGTTTATCCTTTTCCAATGCCACATGCGGGCAGCAGTGCTGAGCTTGGCCTATTTATTTATCCCTCTCCAGCTGACAGATTAGCTGTGTCTGGGACAGAGAGAGGAATGGGAAGGGATACAGATGGAAGGAGAGAGGGGAGGAAAGGAAGAACAGATGGAGAGAAGGGAAGAATGGGTATAGGGATGGGTAGATAGTTGGAGGGATGGGCAGAGGGATGAATGGGTAGATGGAGGATGAATAGGTAGATGGAGGATGAATAGGTAGATGGAGGATGAATGGGTAGATGGAGGGATGGTGAAGGATGAGTGGGTAGATGGGGGGATGAACAGACAGAGGAATTCTGTGACCTGTCTGCTGCTTACAACTCCCCTGCAGCCAATGTATTGAACTCACACACACTTCTGAGTCACAAGGTGGGGCCCGCCCTTTTCTAACCTTTTAGAAGAGTCAAACTGGAGATTGAACCCATTTCGAGGGCATTCTAACCTGTCCCCCAATGGTGACAGTGAGAGGTGACGGGGTCCCCACAGAGCTGCCTCCCACCCCGGGACTAGTCACGGGCTGCCATTCCCACAGCATGATACCCCTCTGGTTAGCAGAGTGGTCAGTGCCTCTGCTTCTCAGTGCTGGCAGTGAGCAGGGAGGGTCATGTGACTCCCTCAGTGCATGACAAGGCACACCATCATCCTTTGCTTGCCCTCCAGAGAGCACACCTGCATCCTGATGCTCCCCTCTCCTCCATGTGGAACTGGTGACCCACACTGTTGTGTCCTGCCACGTGCTAATCTGGCATTCCTTCCCCGTCCAGTCCTAGCCTTCTGTTCAGCTTTGCTCCAACAGCGACATCCCTTAGCCTGGCTTTACATCTGCTGACTATCCACTCTGAAGACAGTGCAGGTTCCTCTGAACCCTGACCTGCCCCATCTGCCTCAACACCGAAAGTGACTGTGCCCACTGAGCTACAAATACAGTTACCCTCCTTCAGTCACAGCCACATACCACAAGGCAACAGTAGGTTCCACAGCCCCAGGAAGTCCCAGGCAGCCCGTGCCAAGGTGTGACCCCACTGAGGAAGCCTCCATTCTCCATCTACCAAACCCAAACTGACCCAGTTGCCTTTCCCCTCCAGAAAGTCCAGCAGTACACGGTCATCGTCCAGGCCACTGACATGGAAGGAAACCTTAACTATGGTCTCTCGAACACGGCCACTGCCATCATCACGGTGACAGACGTGAATGACAACCCTCCAGAATTCACCACAAGTACAGTGAGTACAGTACATCCTCACAGAGAGGCCAGCCCCAAGCTGTCACGTCCCTCTCGGTGGGGGAAGAGCTGGAGGGATCGTGGGTAGCAAACACTGCTGTAGAGATGACCAGCGGAGAGGGGGCAAGTGGCTGGCTGACACCTTGCTGAGGTAAAGCTCTGGAGAAGGTGGCCTGCCAGGCCATCACGTGCTTGGGGAGCCCCTGTGACTGTGCAGTGTGTACTTACCAGGTGCTCCGCTGGGCCCTGGCTATGGGCATGTGTGTCCTTGTCGCCAAGATCCCTTCCTACCTTGGTCCTTGGCAGACAGTGGCTGCCCTGTGTGGTTCCCGCCCCCAGACAAGGAAATTGGTAAAGACTGGACTGGACCCTGGACACTGGGACCTGAGAAGTCAGGGACTCATGCTGAACATACACGTATCTGCCCAACCATGGGATAGAAAGTTCACTGTGAACCTCCAGCCATGGGTCTGAGGAACAAACCCTGCCCCACCCTGGGAGAGAAGATTCTGGAGACAAAACTGTAAATCACATGACTTCGATCTCCCCTAGCATCCACCTCCATGACACCCAAGTCCACAAATGGGTGAACAGTTCTGTGACCCAAGTGGTCCCTGCCCCTCCGTGAACACACAGTCCAGCCCAACCCTGAAGAAATAGCAGGCTGCTGGTATCTGGCTGGGATGTGCAGAGGGAAAGATCAGAAGGGCATTCTCAGAGTGAAGAGGGGCATGTGTCCTTAATAGTAACAAGGACTTTGCCAGGCATATGGGTGGACACTCCCATCAGGCCCCAACCAATGAATAACGGAGACCCAGTGGTGGGCCAGGACATGGGTCTCTGGGCCCACGGCCCACAAGGAACAGCTGGGACTGAACCCTGAAAGTGGCGGCCACGTGGAGATGAGAGAGAGGAGAAAACCATTTGCCTAAGGTGAAGGCGTCTAGAAGGCTGGTGCCCGAGCAAGAGCATGAACACCACCCTGCCCCAACCCCGAGTCCTAGTCTCTTGAACCATAGCACCATCTAGTGGCCAAACAGTAGATGGCACCAACAGGTGCTGCTCAGGACCCCTGCAGTCTGCATGAGTCCTGTTTCTCACCACAAGCAACAGGGCAGGAGGAGGGAGGTGTAGAGGGTTTGACCAGGCTGCTGGGAAGATGAGAGCCAGGCTGCAGGGAGAGCCACTGACCCTGCAAGTGACATCCCTGGCACAGCCATCCTCCTGCCCTGGACAGGCTTCTAGAGGGCGGGCATGGCGGGCAGCGCTCAGCTTGACAACTGCCTTCGGTGACAGTGCAGGAACTCCAGCTGTCAGCTGATAGAGACAGCTGGTGCCGGGCCCACACTGGGGCCACCCCTGGTCTAGGCCATGCTTTGCTGCAGCCACCGCAGCAAAGGCAGAAGGGCAGGGAATGCGCCCAGGGTGGCCTTGTCAGGAGCAAAGCCAATACAACGCTCCACAGATACAAACCTGCTTGTCTCGTGATAAAACACGTGACCAAACACAGCATGGGGAGGAAAGGGTTAATTTAGCTCACACATTCTGATCACCACTGCAGATTTACAGGTTCTGCCCAAGGAAAGTGAACCTGGAGGCAGGAACTGAAGCAAAGACAATGGGGGAATGCTGCTTACTAGCTTGCTCCTCATGGCTTGCTCAGTTTGCTTTCTTAGGCACCCAGGACCACCAGCCAAGGGGTGGCAGTCCCCCCAGAATGGTCTGGACCCTCCCATATCAGCCACTAATCAAGAAAATGACCTACAGACTTGCCTATAGGTAATGTGGTGGAGGTATTTACTCAAATGAGGTTCTTCTTTCCAAATAACTCTAACTTGTGTTAAGTTAGGGGGAAAAAAATCAGAACAATGCTCCTAAGCCAGGCATCAACGCTGTGGAGGCCCAGGATAATCACAGGGTGCTCATACTCTGTAAGTCAGAGCTACACCCCTATGTCCGTTCCAGACTGCTGGAGTACAGATACTGGGGTGCAAGAACCACACAGCTCTCCTGACATCAGCACCCCCCCACCCTCCTACCTTCAGAAAGCAGCCTTGGAACAATACGGTCACCGTAAGAAGCAGGCCAGAGGGAAGTCACAAGAGTTCAGCTTTGGGTTCATCCCCAGCAGAGGAGACGGAACAGCACAGTGGCCGGAGGAGTTTTGAGGAGCATGCCTGCAGGAGGAGGGTTTCTTCAAAGACTGAGAACATTGACTGGAGCCTCAAAGGGTGGTGTGTGACACTCAAGGACCCAGCCTTCCTCCCAGTCCTGCACAAACCCAGTTCTCCACATCTGGGAGATGCCACTTTGCTCACTCCAGGAGCTCCGAGAAGTTATGCTGGTTGGGAAGGACGGGAGAGCCCACAGATACCCTGTCTCAGGATAGAGCCAGCAAGCCCTCCTCCTGTGTGAAGTGGATGAATCCTGTCTCGGACTACCTCTGAGATCATCTGGGGTCAGACTCAGCAGGACCCAGGCTGGCAGCTCTAACTCCAGGTGAAGCCTCAGTTCTTGCTGTGCTGCTGCCCGGGCTCCACGGCACGGCTCGAGGGTGACGTGGTCACACTGAGAAGCCACTAACGGTCACTGACCCCCAGTGCCCTCCCACGATAGCTCCAGGGGTGTTTCACCTCACCTGACCTCGGCAGGAGGCACGCTGCGGATGGACTGGTTTCACCCAGCATCTGAGCTCCGTCTGGTCTGGACCACCACCTGCAATCTACCTGAACTCCATCTTCGCTCATGTGCATCAGCCACGCCGCAAACACCCCGTGCCGTCTGTGAGAGGACGGAAGCTCTGGGAGAGCAGTGCCTCTCTTCATGCTGGGACACGGAAGAAACCATTATGACCCCAGTTAGCACAGGCAGCCAGAGGGTCACAGCCGGAGCACAGTGGCACGAAGCTTATTTCAGGGGTTGGTCCTGCCTCCATGAAACCCGTGAAGGAAGGTGGAGACTCCTGCTTCCCTGGGACATGGAGGGCAAGCAGGGAGGGCAGTCTGAAGTCCCGTGAATACAGAGCACTTTTCCACGCGAGCTCCACAGCTCGTCTTCAGTGTGGCCTCCACAGATGTCAATATCTATACATACTTGGGCTCCAGACGGCCCTCGCCAGGCCCCATCCAGATGAGTGGCAGGCAGGTGCCCCGGGACACTGTCTTTGCTTCACAGTGGGAGTGTGCAGGCAGGTTGGCCACACAGCACACATGGGCTATTTTTGTGAAGCTTAATCAAGAACAATCAGGCAGAGCTAAAAAAGATGCAGGGACTTGCCAGCTCCAATTCCTATTCTTAAGTGTTAATTAAAAGTTATTTTTCTTCTTGCTCCTGTGCAGCTACAGTGCCCCCTGGAGGGCAAAGCCCATAGCTCGTCCAGGGCCACCCTGCCATCAGCAGTCCCCTCCAGAGTGATGCAGGACCAACCGGGGTGGAAAAACCTCCAGACAATGCCCCGGGAGCCTGCAACCTACCCCATGCACAGATCCCAGTGGGCACAGAGGGACCCTGAAACCCAGCAACTGTGGTCTTCCTCAGTTGGAAGGAAGCCCTGCCCTTCCCACACACATAGCCACCCTTCTCACTGTGTGACCTTGGCTGAGGCCCAGACCTCTCTGAGCCCAGGACGCCTTCCACATTTGACATCCGTGTGGTGAGGCTGGGCTGTCGCTGGTCCTGGGAACCTTGCACCTAACAGTAAGCACAGGCTCTACCTGTGGTTGAGAGCAGTCCTAGCCCAGCTCAGCTGGTTCTGGGAACCTTGAACCTGAACAGTAAATACAGGCTCTACCTGCAGATGAAAGCTATCCTAGCCCAGCTCAGCCTTTAGTAGTAAAAGGCAGGAGCAGTCACCAAAGCTCTCTACACTGTCCCTCCACTGGTAAAGAAAGAAGGCAGAGCCACGCAGGCCTGGCCTATGCAGCCCAACTGCAGGGACGTTTGCTATTTGCCTGTACAAGATGGTCGGTCCCCTCACAGGTGTGAATGGCACTATGTTAAATGATGGAAAGGAGGCAGTAAGGTCATGGTGTTCCCATAGGTCACCTCTCAACAGGACAAGGGACAGCACCCAGTAGGGCAGTGTCCATCTGAAGAGCACTTGGCCAGGCTATGCTGTGCACAGGGTACTGGCTCTCTGTCACCATGACAATGAGATCACTGGTGTACAACGAGGAAAAGTTTATTTCAGCTTGTGTTTTCTGAGGTCCCCATCCATAGTCACTGTGGACCTGTGTTGGGGCCACAAAGTATGGGAGGTGGGGAGCATGAAGCAGAAGAAACTGCTCAATTGGTCACCAGGAAACAAAGCTAGACCGAAAGGGGTCAGGGTCTCCACAGCTTCCTCAAGAGCACAACCCTGTGACCTGACTCCCTCCCACTCACCCATACCTACCTGCTATGGTCTCTGCCCTGCCCCCAACACTGCCGCAGACTAGGGACCAAGCCTTCAACACCTGGGACCTCAAAAGATTCTTATCCAAGTCAGAGCAGGAGGGCAGCAATCAGAGGCAGAAGGCTCACTCACCTGGCCAGAAATGACTTCCCCAGAGGCAGGAGTCCACTGAACTTAAAAGCCAAGAATCTGTGCCTGTATGTGCCAAGGATTTAAGGTCTTCTAGAGGCACCTCCCCCAATAACCTGGGGTAACTGATATACCCTAACTCATGTGCCACTGGGGACTGTTCTTCACAAGGGTGCCACACGGGCTGGGTTAGGATAACTCCCAGTCTCATGCTGACACCTCCTGAGACAGGTATAGGCTAGGGCACTGAGGCTAAGGGCATCAACATATAAATTTAGAGCACATGCCAAATGGATGGAAGACCTCAAAATAAAGCCAGCCACACTGAACCTCATAGAAGAGAAAGTGGGAAGTACACTTGAACACATTGGCACAAGAGACCACTTCCTAATAATAACCCCAGCAGCACAGACACTGAGAGAAAAAATTAATAAATGGGACCTCCTGAAACTGAAAAGCTTCTGTAAAGCAAAAGACACAGTCAACAAGACAAAGTGATAGCCTACAGAATGGGAAAACATCTTCACTAACCCCACATCAGACAGAGGTCTGAACTCCAAAATATACAAAGAACTCAAGAAATTTGACATCAAAAGAACAAATAATCCAATAAAGAATGAAGTACAGACCTAAACAGAGAACTCTCAACAGAGGAATCTAAAATGGCTGAAAGACACTTAAGAAAATGCTCAACATTCTTAGTCATCAGAGAAATGCAAATCAAAACAACTCTGGGATTCCATCTTATACCTGAAAGAATGGCCAAGATCAAAAACACTGGTGACAACTTATGCTGGAGAGGATGTGGGGAAAGGGGAACACTTCTGCATTGCTGGTGGGAATGCATATTGGTACAGCCCCTTTGGATGTCAATGTGGCGATTTCTCAGAAAATTAGGAAACAACCTTCCTCAAGACCCAGCAATACCACTCCTGGGTATATATCCAAATCGTGCCACAAGGACATGTGCTCAACTATGTTCATAGCAGCATTATTTGTCATAGCCAGAACCTGGAAACAACCTAAATGCCCCTCAACCAAAGAATGGATAAGGAACATTTACACAATGGAGTACTACACAGCAGAAAAAAAATAACGACATCTTGAAATTTGCAGGCAAATGGATGGAGCTAGAAAACATCATATTGAGTGAGGTAACCCAGACCCAGAAAGACAATTACCACATGTACTCACTGATAAATGGTTTTTAAACATAAAGCAAAGAAAACCAGCCTACAATTCACAATCCCAGAGAACCTAGACAACCATGAGGACACTAAGAGAAACTTACATAGATCTAATCTACATGGGAAGTAGAAAAGGACAAGATTTCCTGAGTAAATTGGGAGCATGGGAACCATGGGAAAGGGCTGAAGGGGATGGAGGAGGAAGTGAGGGGAACAGAGAAAAATGTAGAGCTCAATAAAATCAATTTTTAAAAAAAGAAAAGAAAAGAATGTTGAATGATACCAATCTGTCTACTTTGGGAAACTTTGACTTTAAAATAAAATACTATTTTATTTTAAATAAAAAAAATTTAGGGGACATGACTAGCTATCGTGGTGTGGGGACACTCAGACGCTGCGGCAACCCTATTGCTGAATGTCAGTGACAGGAGTGGGGGCTCTCACTGTGGAGGCCACCAGCAATGACAACCTCGCCCAGCCACACAGAGGAGCTTAGGAATCAGACCCTGGACACATGTGCCCATGACTCGGGTCTGCTGTCCTCTCTGGGATTGCTTTATGCCCCTCTGTGCTAATTGGCCAAGAGGAAGGTTTGAAAGTAGGACCCTCTGGAAGCGGGCTGTGCCAGCTTACTTCCCTTGTACCCCTAGCGCTTCCTAAGGAAACCCTCTGCAGTCTGGGGCCTCGTTGCCCCAGGGCAGCTCACAGAGCAGCACTGGGGGACACTGTAGGGACATCCTTTAGGATGGACACGGCGGGCTCCCATCGGACCCTAAATTGACGAGACAGCTGTGCATCTTGCTAAGGTGAATCTCAAGACAGCGGAAAATGTGAGCTCAGAGCTGCTGAGAGCAGAACCTAGAAGCCAGCCCAGCAGTGGCCACGGTTGGCAGGGGACAAGGATTTCTAAGGCAAATGCACCCCTTCCCCCACTCCGAGTGAGGCCATGGGGTCTTTGCAGGTGCACATTACAGAGGTGATCACCTCCATGTTTATTGGCCACAGGAGCTGACCCCCAGCCACCTGGAGCAGTGACCTGATGGTGGCAGCAGCCAGAGCATGCTTCTCTCAGATACCTCTTGCAGCTGCCACTCTTAGACTCCTGCCTCCCCCGCTCTCCATTGTGCGTCCATCTTTGCCATTCATCTTCCACGCACGTGAGAAAATCTGGGGCGTAGGAGGGGAGCCTCGAGCCAGGGCACTCTGTCATCAGTCAATACCAGCTGACCCACCACTTAGGACATCTACTCCAGAGCAGTGACCCTGCTGCTCCCCAGCATTGTCTGGGTCCAGGGAGCCTGGTCTCCAGGCTCTATTGAGGTCCTAATGTTCTTTCTTACACTTCGCAGTTTGCAGGAGAAGTCCCTGAGAACCGTGTGGAGACAGTAGTAGCCAATCTCACAGTACTGGACCGAGATCAGCCCCACTCACCCAACTGGAATGCAGTCTACCGAATCATCAGTGGGGACCCCTCGGGGCACTTCAGTGTCCGCACAGACCCTGTCACCAATGAGGGCATGGTCACCGTGGTGAAGGTGAGTGACCGCTACCAGCACATCCCCTGGTCCAGACACATGCATGTCCATCAGCTACCTAGGGCAGAGGACCAAACCCTTTGGAGACTTAGCAGCACTCAAACTTGTGCAGCTAAGGCTGGCCTTAAACTTCTGATCCTCCTGCCTCCACCTTTCACCCACCATTTTCCACTGGAAAGGAGAAACAGTAAGTTTAGATTCTGGCCTCCGTGTCCTCACTGGCATTTTCTTCTGAACGAGAGTCTCCTTCACATGAGGCTGTGCACACACCTTGTGGTTCAAGGCTCGGACAGCAGGAGGATGTGGTAAGACCCTCCTCTCTGGCTTGATTCTAGGACCCACCTCTCCAGGAGTACTTGGGTCTCACTTTTGAGCCAAGAGTCATTGGTGGGAGAGTGTCACCTTAGTGAGTATGCCCAGCACCCTAACTGAAACTGTCAGAACAAATTTCCTAATGGTTTCCACATTACAGGTGTGTTTTATCTTACCTGCCTGTGGATTTTATTGGCCATAGTCTTTCTAGAAAGACTGATGTTTTAGGGCATCACATACCACGTGGTTCCATGTCCCACAGGGACATGAGCCAATAAACACAGAGAGGCCTTTCCCTCCGCGGTTTTACGGAGCAGCGTGTTGAAGCAAACCAGCCTGACCTCTGCCTGGGGCTTCCAGGAGGGGCTCCTGGCATTTGCCGTCACTGGTCATACAAGAGAAAGACCTGGTCACAGTGCGGTACCAGCTTTGGGAGCGTGGTGGCACCTGGGGTTTAAGGGCTCCGAGGAGCCAAGACTAGGCCTAGGGGAAGTTCACTATTTCTGACCTAAAAGCCCCTGTGAGACCTTTCAAGAGAGGGGTCCAAGTTATTCCGTCCCAGACACGTTGTCAGATTTGTAGCCGGCTGGGGTGGCTGTGGGTCCAGTCCACGGACCCTGTAAGCACAGGCCCTATAAATGCACTGTACAGTGTCCAGCAGCACAGTACAAACTGGGCAGAGACAGGGCAAGTGAGGGACCAGCCCATTCCCACGTGTACAGCTGACTTCACCAGCAATACCTGGGTCTAAGGAGGCAGGAGCACAGGCCTAGCCATGCCCCAGGACCTGGGGGCAGTGACAGGCAGATGTCATCCTGTGCCAGAAGAGATATGATCATCCTCAGGGCTTGGGGAAAGAGGGGCTCACCAAGATCACCATCAGGGATCCAGCAGCCTCTCTGGCACCTTCTCTAGACACCAATGCCTCTGTTTCCTTCCATGCCCAGTGGCTCTACTGATTGCCTAGTCTTTAATACCGTTCCATGCATAGATACTTCACATCATAGCACACTAGGACACCGTGGTTCAGGGCACCAAGGATGGATACTTACAAAATCCAGAGATAGTCAGGCCTGGATTCAGATCCACTTAGCTACAGACTCAGGAGTCAGGCCCAGCGCAGGGGTTGGCACCTGAGGTGGGACACAGACGGAAGTGGGGAGCTGGCTCCACCAGCAAAGCTGTTCCCTAAGCAGAGCTCATGAAGACCCAGGGAAGCCTAATATGAGGCAGGGAGCCATGGGACCTGCCATGTGAATGCCCCAGTAACCGTCAGGCTTCCTTTTCTACCGACCTTTGCCCTGTTGAAAAAGCTGAGTCAGATGGCTGCAGAGGTTCCCACACTGGGGTCTGGTGGCACCTGAGCGAGTGTCCTAGCCCTGTTCTCTCGAGCTTCCTTTGAGGAAAAAATTAGCCAAGAAGGGTCCTTCAGGGCGAGGCCAGTGGCTAAGGAGCTGAGGTATGTGGCTGTCTGGCTTAAGGTCATCCAAGGCCTATGGGCTCGGGTGGTGACATCAAACTGCAGGCCAGGGCGGTGAACTCCGCATCATCTGTCTGCTGATGTACTTCAGGGTCCAGATTTTCCTCAAAAGGGCCACTCGACATCTCAGAGTCTAGCACTAGCCTAAGTCCCAACTAGGAGCAGAGGGCTTTCTCAAAACAGCTTCATTGCCCTCTTCCCCAGGACCCAGTGCCTGTTTCTAGAACCTGTGACTGTCCCAGCTGGCAGCAGGTCTCTGTAGGTGTGACAGTGTTGAGAGTCTCTGGGTCAGCCCAGTGCAACCTCAGAGGTCTTTGAGAGAGGGAGCAGAAAAGACAGAGAGTGTCTTAGTTGGGATTGTGTTGCAGTGATAAACACCATGGCCGAAAGTAACTTGGGGAGGGAAGGGTTTACTTCAGCTTACATGTCCCAAGCATGATCTAACATGGAGGGGAGTCAGAGCAGGAACCCTGAGACAGGAGCTGATATGGAGGCCATGGAGGAGTGCTGTTGCCTGGCCTGTGCCCCATAGCTTGCTCAGCCACTTATAGCACCGGCTCAGGGGTGGCCGCACCCACCCACCGAGAGCTGGATCCTCCCCCATGATTCATCCATCTGGAAAATGTAGTACCAGCCAGCTTAGTGGCTGCGTTTTTTCAGTTGAGGTACTCTCTCCTCTCCAGCTCGTGAGGACTCCAGCTCGTGTCGAGTTGACCCAACACTGTCACAGAGAGAGTGTGAAGGGAGAGGCAGAGCAGGTGGAGGCAGGAAGCCACAGCTGGCTCTGGAGGGGCACAAGACCCCACACACCCTCTCCAGAGTGGAACCATGTGAGCTTGGGAGTCTCTGGAGGGAACTGGCCCTGCTGTTGGACTCTAGCCCAGGCACAGACATTTTACATCTAACCCCAGAACTGCATTCAGATTACATTAAGTCTCCAACTGGGGACACAAAATTAGTAACAAGTACAAGGAAAGGTTACATGAGTAAAGGCTTAAACATTGCTGCTTGGCTGGGCAGTGTGAGGTTCTGAGACCTTCTCCCTACATCTTCCAACCAACCTCAAGTTTGCAGTCTTCCTGTCTTGGCCTCCTGAACGCAGGGTTTCCGGCGGGTACCTGTGCCCAGCACAAACAGTGTGGGGTCAGGGGAGACACGTGTGCAGCTCATGCATGAGGCGGTCAGAGGACAGCCTGCAGGAGTTGGTTCTCTCCTCCAACTGTGTGGGTTCTGCCGGGCACACTCATCATCAGACATGGCAGCAGATACCTTTACTCCCCAACCCATCCTACCCGCCCTAAAACCAAAGCCAACCTTTGGCCACCATTACTCTCGGCCCTCGGTTGTATTTGCTGAGCTTCCTGCGGCTGCAGTGACTCTCAAGACCCTCAGCACATCTGTCCCTGCAAGCCCACAGCCACCAGGGCCCATTGTGAGACCCGGGGTAATTTGGAGGCCACTGCTCAGCCCACGCAGTAATTAAGGAATTGTTATTGAGAAGTCATGAAATCCCAACACTTGGGAAGCCAAGGCCCATGCCCCAGAAGCCAGCCTCTGCCTCACCAAGGCATGGGGCTGCTGGCTAGAGTTTCATCCCAATCCTTCTCTCCTCATATTGGCCAGAACCCAGAATAAGCCAGAAACAAGAGTCTGATGTTGAGGGACAAAAAGACTGGGCAGTGTGGATAGCCAGCCCCACACCCACTCAGGAAGCCCCGGTTCACCGGTCCCTTCTTCCAGGCAGTGGACTACGAGCTGAACCGCGCCTTCATGTTGACTGTAATGGTGTCCAACCAGGCGCCCCTGGCCAGCGGAATCCAGATGTCTTTCCAGTCCACAGCAGGGGTGACCATCTCTGTCACTGATGTCAACGAGGCCCCCTACTTTCCCTCCAACCACAAGCTGATCCGCCTGGAAGAGGGTGTGCCCACCGGCACCGCACTTACTACTTTTTCCGCAGTGGACCCTGACCGGTTCATGCAGCAAGCTGTGAGGTGAGTCACCAGTGGGGCCTGGCCTCGTCTGGCACTCAAAGTGGGGTCCAGTTCTCTGTGCTACACAGAAGAGTCCCACAATGCCCAAAGAAGCCTGAAAACCAGAAATCCCAGCAGAGAGAGGAAGGACAATGGATACCACATCCAGACCTGAGGCACTGGCTTTGTCTAGGAGCAACCCACCCCAGGAAGTCACATAATAGGACAACCTTGGGCATGGTAGGCACTGCCAGCATGTCCAGGCTAACAAGGAAGATGTGAGGCTATGGAGTCAGGGCAGGTCATGGCTTCACTTGAGCAAGCCACTTACCTCCTCTATCCCTCAGAATACCCCCTGTAAAATGTAGATGATGAGAACACAGCCTCCGAGAGTCCTCCAGAAGCAAAGACCACCCACCACAGGGACATGAGGCTCTGGTGTGGCCTGTCCCTCCCTGTGGGAGGGACGCAGAGGGGCGTTAAACCCCAGGCACTCTAAGGGAACAGCGATGCTATCCTGCTACGATCCAGGATGCTGATGCTGTGAACCTAGGATGCATGCAAGGCTGACAGGATGAAGGGTACCGGGACCCTCACCTTGCTTCTGGCTTCCTGTCCATAGGTACTCAAAGCTGTCTGATCCCGCCAACTGGCTGCACATCAACACATCCAATGGGCAGATCACCACGGCCGCAGTCCTGGACCGAGAGTCACTGTACACCAAGAACAATGTATACGAGGCCACCTTCCTGGCTGCTGACAATGGTGTGTCCCTTGTCCTGGGGTTAGGGCAGGGGAAGGGGTGTTGGTGGGGGTGGGGGGCCAGCGGCACCCAGAGGGAAGTCTGTGCAGGCAGCCATGAACTGGCAACTTTGTCACCCGACACTGCCCAAATCCTGATCCCTTCCATCATCTGAACTTCAGTTACTCCACCTAAGAACCTGCTTACCCATTTGACCATGTTTCCACACCGTGTTCCCATGGTCCTTCATTCACTCTTGGCTCCAAGGTAGTCAGGAACCTGGGAACGCAGTGGCAGATGGCTGCCCTAGCTTCTCAGCTTCCCCAACTACACCTGAGTGATGACAACAGATCTGCCATTCTCCAGCACTGTTAGTTGGCATCCTACCCAGGAAAGGCAAGAAGACCTGCGTCCACCCTAGCCCCACGCTGAGTCAGAGCAGGGCTGAGAGCCCTGGGAGCAAGGGAGGGCTCTGGGCAGGCGCTGGACAGACACTGGGCAGGCACTGGACAGACGCTGGGCAGGTGCTGGGCAGGCACTGGGCAGATGCTGAGCAGGTGCTGGGCAGGCACTGGACAGACGCTAGGCAGGTGCTGGGCAGGTGCTGGGCAGACGCTGGGCAGGCACTGAATAGACACTGAGCAGACACTGGACAGGTGCTGGGCAGACACTGGGCAGACAGTACAGAGAAAGAGCTGAGAAATGGGGCAGAAGGATGATGCTTCGTCCTGAGGAAGTCAGTGCAGGGTTTGGGCCACCAGCTTACCAAAAAGAATGACACGGAGACTTATACTAATTATGAAAGCTCAGTTGTAGCGTAGGCCTGTTTCTAACTAGCTCGTATAACTTAAATTAACCCATTTCTACTCATTTACTTCTGCCTCATGGCTTTATTACCTCATCTCCATGTCTCCTTGGAGACATGCTTGCTCTGTGTCTCCTGGCATCTCCACCTTCTTCCCAGCATCCTCTCTGCCTGGAAATCCTGACTAGCTACTGGCTGTTCAGCTTTCTATTAAACCAATCAGAGTGACACATCTTCACAGCATACAAAAAGATTATTCTATAACATTTCCCCCTTTTTGTCTAAATAAAAAGGAAAGGTCTTAACTCTAACATAGTAAAACTATATACAGTGGGAACAATTATCAGGTATTGTCTAAAGAGAAAGGAAAGGTATTAACATTAACAAATGAAACTATATGCAATAAGAACAATTATCAATTAATAATTACATTCACGATATCTAGTTCATTGGTATTTGGCAAAGTTAGAGAAAATACTCCATTATCTATCTTATTTTTGAGTCTGAAGTTTTGTACCTAATTTACTTTCTATCAAAACTAAGAAAAACTAACTATAACCATCTAGTCTTCAACCCCATGGAAGACCTGAGAAGGATATAATATTACCTGGGTAAACAGGAAGTGCAGAGCAAGCAATTTCCAAAACGAAGAGAAATAACAGAAACAGTTGGCTGCCTGGATCCAAGGTTCCTCTGTAACACTGGGGATAACACAGATATTCTACAGGCCTAGAATATCTGACAGACTGTTCTGTGAAGTAGGAACTTTTGAAGTACTGCCGCACATGTCTTAGCAAAGTTCAGCAGTTGCTTTCTTTTGTGTCTCGCTTGTCCAATTTGGGCAGCATACTGAAGCATGATTAATAAAAGCTAAGGGATAGATATTGGAGTTCAACCTGAAGATCCAAACATCAAAGCAGCCAGCCACTGGCTCTTACTTCAACATCAGTCTGAAATGGCGATCCTGCTTCCAGGAATCTCAGAATGAGACTGAGACTGAGAGCTGTCTCCTCATGTTTTATATTCCTCTCTAGAGCTGGAATTAAGGGTGTGCACCACTGGGATTAAAGGCATGCATCAGCCAGTTTCTATGGAAAACTAGTGTGGCTACTGAGATTAAAGGTGTGTGTCACCACTGCCTGGTCTGTAAGGCTGACCAGTGGGTCTGTTTTACTCTGTGATATTCAGGCAAGTTTTATTTATTAAAATACAGCTGAAATGACACTACACCATACTGTCAGCAGTCAACACAAGGGCAGCTTCTTTGCCTCATGTCTAACTTTTGCCACAAAGAAAGCAAACTCTGTATGGAGTTTCTTTAATGCCCATCATCTTCTTGGTGCTGCCAGGAGCAGACATGTCTCATTGTCATGAAAAGCCTTATATTATTAAAACAACTTAAATGCCATAGTCTGTAGGTCTCTGAAGTATTTGAAGACCATCTATCTATTCAAAATATTCCTCTGTTTGAACTTAAAAACATACCTAACATGACTATAAGTTTGATTGTTATAGATGGCTAACTATCAACCTATGTTTTTTTTTAATATCCTAAATAGCTTTCAAAGACTAAAACTTTACATAACCTTCTAAAATGAGCTGCATAGATACAATACCTTAAACAGGAGTAGAAAGATATATACAGTGTAACAATAACCTTAAATTTGTATCATATACAAAAATCTATACCTATGCAAAATATTTGAGACTAGTGGTTGTTCAAAAGTAGACTCAACAATCCACCCCTTTATCCCATCATTTCTACACTATGTCCCCCCATTTTCATTTCAGAAAGAGATCCCTGAATCTAATTTCCTTTGTTTAGATCCTAACCATGACCAGTAACAACTTGTAACCAACCCCCCCTAGGTGATGACAAACATCCATAACCCACAGAACAACCAGAGACCACCCAGCCGGCATCTTGGGAATGTGGGCGGTGTGTCTGACTGTGTGAGACTAATCTTTACACTGCTATGTCCTGTCAGCCACTGGCACAGCTTAGCTTAGCGCGTGGCACTGACACACGGCACTGGAGGCTGGCTCCAGTCCACAGATAGTGGCATCTCTGTACACCGAGCACCAGCTCGCCTGAGAGACTACAAGACTAGAAAACCACATCTGGCTACTTGTCCAGAGCTTTTCTTAGCTTTCTCGGCCCTGTGTTTGGATATTCGAGCCCCCACGTTGGATGCCATTTGTAGATGTATTTTTCTTTGGGTGGCCACAAAAAATGACATGGAGACTTACTATTAATTATGAAAGCTTGGTCTTAGCTTAGGCTTGTTTTTAACTAGCTCTTACAATTTAACCCATTTTCTTCGTTTACTTTCCACCTCATGGCTTTATTACCTCTTCACCATAGTGCCCATCCTGCTTGTTCTGCATTTTCTGGCATTTCTGCCTTTTCTTCCCAGTATCCTCTCTGTCCAGAAATCCTGCCTAGCTATTGGTCATTCAGCCTTTTATTAAACCAGTCAGAGTGACACATCTTCACAGTGTACAAAAGGCTTATTCCACAACAGGTTCTCTTGAGGCTTCTGAAGGCTCTGAACCAAATCCGGGAAGTCTGTGGCCAAGAGGCCCATTTCAAGACCCAAAGTCCTCTGAGGTCTAGCTGAGCACTATCAAGAACTCCGTGTAGTGGAGGGTGGGGAGATGTAAAGCATATTCTGAACAGAGATGAGTTTAATGCCATTGCTCCGGGAAAGAGCCCTGGCCTCTCTGGGCCTCGACTTTCTCCTTGGCAGAATGAAAGAATCTTACTACCTCTGAGAGTCACGTCACTCATGGGTGATGACAGGCGTGTGAGTGAACCAGAGGACAGTGTTCTCCAGGGCTCTGACCACTGTCGTCCTGACACTTGTTGAGAGTCCACTGAAGGCCAGGCATCTACCCAGACTTAGAAGAGAGAAGCCTCACTGGGAGAACTCACTGAGGTCCAGGCGCCTACCAAAGAGTGGAAGAAACCAAGCCCCCTGCCTGGTGGAACCTGTTTTCCAGTAGAGTCACTGTGGTAGCAGTAAGTTCAACAAGACTGGAAGGGATTCTCTCTCACATTTAGGAGTGCTGGAGCTGAGGGTGATATAGCTCAGTGATAGGCCACCTGCCTCCATGTATGAGGTTCTGAGTTCACGCCCAGTGCTGCACAGGGAGAGGGGAGGGGAGAGGGGAGTTTATCCAGGCCTGTCGATGCATACCTGGAAGCCCAGTTACTCCAAAGCCAGCCTGGGTTACAGAGCAGGTTCAAAGTCACATCAGCAACTTCGGTGGAGAAATCTGAAAGCTGGTAGCCAGGGTGAGATTTGACAACCATGACCACTCGGCTCACACCATATCCAGGCTGTGCCACGGCATGGTCCAGAATGGGTGCCCCAGGCATCATCACCATGGTCTGGCAAATAGAAGGAGAAGCAGGAAGAGTGCCGTGCACACCAAAGCTCTCCTGCGGACACAGGGTCTCCGCTCAGAGTTCGTGATGACCAGAACTTAGGCGCAAGCTCACATCTAGCTGGAATGTGACCTCCCAGCGGATAGCAAGAATCTGGGGTGACATTTAGGGTTCTGGGTCTTCTCTTAAAGAGAACAATGGGGGCAGCCACACAACTGTCTCTGCCTCCACAGAGACGGGAAAAATAAGCCGGCAAGGCCATTTAGTTGCCAGAGAAGCTGGGTGGAACTTAGGTGGTGGGAGAAGGCAGGGAAGAAGACAGGAAGGGGAGCCTGCCACTGGTGGGAGTGACGTGGGCAGAGGCCCCGAGGCAGGACAGTACTGGTGGGCTCTTGGGAGAACTGAACAGCTAAAATTTCAAGAACAACTGCTACTGTCGCCCCAAAGCTGTTCCCAAAGCAAATGACAGCCAGAGAAACTCCAACCTAACCCGACTGACTGCCCCCAGGTCCCATAGTCCTTGTCATCCACAAAGTTGACTGTAGAGGCACTGGAGAGATGGCTCAATGGTTAAGAGTGACTGACTGCTCTTTCAGAGGACCCAGGTTCAATTCCCAGCACCCACATGGAAACTCGCAACCATCTGTTACTCTAGTTTTAGGGGATCCAACACCCTCTTCTGGCTCTGTGAGTAATGCACAGATGTGATTCAGAGACATACATGCAGCCAACACAAACACAGAAAACAAACAAAAAATAAATCTCAAAAAAAGATTTTTAATTGGGCATACAGACAGCCCTTGGTGAGCACCCAGCCCTTGTTCAGATAAGAGCACCTGGTCTTTTTCAACAGCAGGTTACAAGATGGTCAGCGTGTAGGTGTGTGTCTTGCTGGGGACGTCACACATCTGTCTGTCCTGTGTCCTGCAGGGATCCCCCCAGCCAGTGGCACTGGGACCCTGCAGATCTACCTCATTGACATCAATGACAATGCACCCCAGCTGCTGCCCAAGGAGGCACAGATCTGCGAGAGGCCAGGCCTCAACGCCATCAACATCACTGCAGCTGACGCCGACATGGATCCCAACATCGGCCCCTACGTCTTTGAGTTGCCCTTCATCCCCACTACAGTGAGGAAGAACTGGACCATCACCCGCCTAAATGGTGAGCCCACCCAGCAGAGCCCTGGCCAGGCAGATCGGGATCTAGGATGTAGCCCAGGATCCATCACCAAGTAGCAGTGAACCACGTAGATGGGAAACAGCCCCTGCCCTCCAAGAGAGTTCACACACAAGGCTGGGGATATGGCCCTGCACACTCCCGTCCCCGCCATGAAGCCATTCATTTCTTCCTAGTACCTGGCTGTTTTTTAGACAGAGCCTAGTTTGGACCATGCTGGCAGTCACTGTGGGTGGACTGGCCCCTGAAGGCAGCATCCTCTTAGGAGGTACTCCTTCCTGTTACGCCTAGGACAGGGTGACCTCATTCTCAGGTAGGCCAGTCCTAGGGTCATTACAATTTCCCAGAGGTGCAAGGCCCATTTGTGCCTCCACCAGCAAGACTACCAAAGCTTCGTGCCCTTACCAACATGAGAGGCTGTTGCTTCAGGAAGCAAAGCCATTGCTTCCTTCTGTCTCTGGGCTACCGGTACAGGACTTGCATATGTGTAGAGTTTGGGTTCCTTTGCCTTTTTTCTTTGGGAGAGGTTTTTTTTTCCCCTAATTGACTTCATAGAACTCTATACATTCAGGGAATCAACTCTTCATCCTATATGTTGACTCTCTTATTTTTGATATGGTCAATGTTTTAGCTTTGTGTGTCCGTGTATGTGTGCAAGGTACACATATATACGTGTGTGTGTATGTTCACAGGAGGCCATAGGCAAGCTCCACTATTGTTCCTTGAGAGTCATCCGCCTTGTTTGTTCAGACAGGGCCTCTCTGGCTGACCAACAAGCTCCAAAAATCTGCCTGCTTCTACATCCTCAGCTCTGGGACTATTAAGTATACACTCTGTGCCAGGCTTTCTACATGAGTCTTGAGGGCTAAGACTCAGACCCTCATGTGGCAAGAACTTCACCAATAAAATCATCTCCTCAATTCAATGTCTTTAACTAAATGGCATGGTGGTAAAGTGTGTGTGTATGTGTGTGTGTGTGTATGTGTGTATGTGTGTGATGTGTGTGTATGCATATGTGTGTACTTGTGAGCATGCACTATGTTGTGTGTGCATATGAGTGCATGGTGTATGTACATGCATATGTGCATGTGTGAGAGAGATTTTTGTGCTATCGGAAGTCTTCCTTGGGAAGGAGAGCTGACCATTGGCTCAGTGTTGCTGTTCCTCACTCCAGGTGACTACGCCCAGCTCAGCTTGCGCATTCTGTACCTGGAGGCAGGAGTGTATGACGTCCCCATCATCGTCACGGACTCTGGAAACCCTCCCCTGTCCAACACGTCCATCATAAAAGTCAAGGTGTGCCCGTGTGATGAGAATGGTGACTGCACCACCATCGGTGCCGTGGCTGCAGCCGGCCTGGGCACAGGTGCCATCGTGGCTATCCTCATCTGCATCGTGATTCTGCTAAGTGAGTGTGGGCTTCGTGGGTGGGCGCAGGCTTTGTGGACATGGGCTTCGTGGGCACGGGCTTCATGGGCACAGGCTTCGTGGACATGGGCTTCATGGGCACGGGCTTCGTGGGCACGGGCTTCATGGGCACAGGCTTCGTGGGAGTGGGCTTCGTGGACATGGGCTTTGTGGGCGCGGGCTTCACTCTGTCCCACAGACAGCCAGGGCAGGGCGGACTGAGATCCAAGCCGCTCTACAGCCGCTTCACTCAGCAGCTTCCTATCTACTGGGAGCATCCCTGAAGTCCAGCAACGCTGTCCACACAGAATACGAAAGCAGGATCTCCAACCTCATCACTAGCAAAGACGGAGGGCCAGCCTGCCCACATCTGGTCCATCATCAGACTCTGCATCCCAAAGGCCCCTGAGCCCCCAGCTGGCCCCCTCCTGGGCCTCCAGTAGCTGCAGGCCACTCTCAAATGGACACAGAGGGAATGACAGTTCCTGTCTGTCAATATCCCAACTCCAGCCCTTGTCTCCTCGTGGCTCCCTGAACAGGATTCAGGGCTAGGATGCTTAGAAATGGCCCTGATGTGACATCTTCCCACCTGGACAGTTGACCTGGTCCACAGTAGCCCAGAGACCACAACATCCCCTCTCCTAATTACACTGAGCTGAAGGGTCTCCGCCACGTACAGGGAAGGACTAAGGGCCAACCATCAGGTCCCCAGCTTAGACCAGAATGAGCCACATCGTGACCATTCCGTCCCTCTTCCATTCCAGATCCAGGGTTTCCTCTCATGACGTCTGGTTCCAAGGCCTTTAACCAGACAGTCAGTGTGGTGTCTTCCTTATGTGGGATCAGAGACAGCCCTGCTATGTGGGAGGTGACTCTGGGGTGGGGCTGGGCCTGTGTTTTCCTCTGAAGACACAGGGACAAGGCTAGAGAACACAACAGTAGACAGTGTCCACATGGGAGTGAGCGGACCTACAAGCCAGAGAGCCTGGATCCCTCTCCAGTCTGCTGGGTGCACCAAGCTGGGGATCCGGGTACCCCTGTGGCCCGATCAGGGAGTGAAGCTTACTGGGGCATGTCCCTTCTCCCACAAGCTCCCTCCAGGTGACATATCTGAGACCCCAGCTGCACAGCGGACTCTCTGGCCACTTGATCTGGTAAAGAGTGGCTCAAGGTTCTGGTTTCTGCTTAGATGCTCATAGCGGGGAGCTCCCTGGCTCTTGCCCGAGTTCCCTGTCCACAACCTGGACCACATCAAAAAGGTCCCTTGGCTACCTCCTCCTCCTTTGTTTGAAAGAAATATTATCTGTCACTAGCAGGGCTCTGGCCTCCAAGCTAGCTGCAATCTTTCTTATCACAGCACTTAATCAAGTTGACCAGCCCACAACAGTCTGCCGCCCTTCCCGCGCTCCCCACTTCCCTCTCCCTACTGATACTCACCCTCCCCACCCCACGCTCTGGGGTGTTTCACTGGGACCTCCCTTTTATTCATGGCTAACAATGGAGAGATGGCAGAAGGCAACAGGAAGCATACTAGAGACTGCACCTTCATCAGGACCCGATGCCCTATCTCCTGGCATTCCTAGGAGCCCCGCCCTCAGAACTCAGGAGCAGAGACCTGTCAGGAAGGAGTATGCAAAAGCTGAGGCTCCCAGGGGTCGGGGCTAAGCAGAGAGATACAGAAGGAGGAGCCGAGGCAGCTGGCAAAGCAGGCACATGCACAATGTGATAGAGAGGTGATATCATTTCTCATTTTACACCTGAGTTCTTTGTGTAAAAGAACCCAGGGATTGCTCCCCAGTCAGCCTTCCTTCCTGGGTAAGCTACCCCTTAGCCCAGAGTATTCCCTGGGAGTAGCCTGGGCCAAGGTGTAGATGATGGCTTCCTCTCACCCCTGAGGCCCTTTCTGGTCCCCCTGCCAGTGTCCTTCCACCATGGGAACATCACCCTATCATGGCTCCTGCCTAGAAACATGGTACCCTGAAACCCTCCCCATTGCCTTCTGGACAAAGCCTCACCTTCCCATAGTTTTGAAGAATAAAGGTCACCCTCTACCTTTGTCCTTCTGACCCTTAGGTAGTGATACCTGTGCTCAGTCAGCCACCTCCATGAAGGAAGAAATGCATCAAGTGGGCCATTCACACCCTCAGATTCCACATCTGTGTATGCAATCAGTTGCAGATAAAATATTCACAGAAAGAATTGCACGACAGGGGGTGGAGAGAGCCGACTCGGTAGTAAGAGCAGTTACTGCAGAAGTCTATGGGTCTGAGTTCAAATTTCTAGAATCCCTGGGCATAACCGTGCACACATCTGTAACCCCACTGTAGGGTGTAAGGGCAGGGCATAGCTATGCACATACCTACCTGCTTATGTAGATGAACACAGAATACACATGCATCCAACCATCATATGTTCATGATATGCCCGGGCATCCACGTTTGCTTACACAAAAAGCCATGCATGCTCACACGTTTTACACCTGGGCACATATGTGCACAGACACACCCACGTATGCGTACAGCGCTCACAATGCAGCCCCTCTTCTCATAGCCATGGTCCTGTTGTTCGTTGTGTGGATGAAGCGGAGGGAAAAGGAACGACACACAAAGCAGCTGCTCATCGACCCTGAGGACGATGTGCGTGACAACATCCTAAAGTACGATGAGGAAGGCGGTGGCGAGGAGGACCAGGTGAGCCCAGGTCTCAGCCTCCCTGCTACTGGGCTCAGCGGGGCTCATGCTGGGGCTTTAGCCTTTCATAACCCGGGCACAGGCTACAGGCTCCCGTGTGTGTGCTCAGATCTGGGCAGACGACGCAGGCTCGATCAGCACCCTCCTCCCATGCTCCTCCCTCTCCAACCACCTCCCTCATTGCTGTCCTGTGCCCTGGAGGAAACAGGCCGGAGTCTTCTGAGGACGCCAACACCCACCTCCTGGATACTCCCAGTGTGGGGCTCTCTGACCAGAGTGGGTGATCTACACAGAGCTAGCTAGTATCTGCAAGGAGGACCCAGCCCTTTCCCATCAGCTCTAAGGGTGCACGGTGGCAGTACAAGGCTGCTGAGCTGCACGCGGGAAAGGTCACCTGCAAGGAGGGAGTTCCCTGCCAGCCTCTGCAAGGCAGCTGGCAGACGTGATTCCATGGCTAGATAAGAAGTGGATTGTATGGAAGGGACAGGCCTGGGGGTTGGAATGGGACACTTAAGTGTGCTTGGAGACTGGTACAGTGGCACCCTCTGGGCAGGTGAGAAAACTAAACAAGGTCTGCTCAGGATTCTCCCATTGCCCTGCCTATTACCCCCCCACACACACACACACGCACACACACTTCCAGTTCCCCTGACTCACTTGGCCTCCATCCCCAGGACTATGACCTCAGCCAGCTACAACAGCCGGAAGCCATGGAGCATGTGCTGAGCAAGGCCCCTGGTGTGCGGCGGGTGGATGAACGGCCAGTAGGTGCCGAGCCTCAGTACCCAGTCAGGCCTGTGGTGCCTCACCCAGGCGACATCGGAGACTTCATCAATGAGGTACGGACCTTGGGAGGACCTAAGCAAGGAGTCCCCTTTCAAAGGAGATCCTCAGAGCTCTACAGGGCCAGAGGAGGCCAGGCCTCCTGCTGTGTGACTTGGTGCCTCTGAGGAGGCCTAAGGTTCCCAGTTGCTCAGGGGGAATTGGGACCATTTAGGCCCCTTTGCCTGCAATAGGGTAAGAGAAGGAAGAACTAGTCTCAGGAGAAACAACAAAGGCACCAATGCAGCTTTTGGACACACAAAGCCAGTGCATCTGGGAATGGCCTTCCCACCCACACTGGAACCCTGGTACCCAAGAAAACTGACCTGCAAGTCTCTCCTTAGCCACCTCTGACCCCGTCCCCCTCACAACACAAAGGTGGGAGTCCACGCACCCCCTAGAGTCCTTCCTGCCTTCAGCGTTAGGCCGTATTAAAGACCTAACAAGGCCTCCACACCTTGGAGAAGCTTAGTCTCTTAAAATTGAGCCAGGGAAGGCTCAGGCTGCACGTCACGCCACCCCATCTCTTACAAAGGCTTTGAAAAGAAAACAAATGGTTGTCTGACAGCAGAGCTTTGGCAGGTGGTGGCTGGATCTGCAGAGGGAGATCTCTGGTTCATAAACCAGAAAACTCGTCTTCTCCTTCCAGGCTGGAGCAGCTGTAGGGCAGAAAGGAGGATGCAGGGAAGAGAATGAGAAGTTCCCTTTTGGGGCACGTGGTTAGCCATTGAGCTTAAACATGTCAGATGACCTCTTAAAGCCAGCCATACTTGGGAGCAATAACACTGGGAGAGGAGAATCTAGAAAAACTAGTTATTATAGTTCTGGAAAGCAAATTACTTTTCTGTCAAGAAATGTCTGTGTTCAACCAAACGTGTCCCTGGCTAACACCTCTGTCCACCTTCTTCTGCAGTAAATCAAAAAGAAACAGGGAGAGTGGCTTCCCTGGGGTCCCATCTGTGACCCCGCCTAACCACTAGCATGGGAGTGGGAGTGGGTGGATTGTGGCTTTACTACCAGGTCCTCAAGACTCATTATATTTGAAGTGGGGTCAGCAACACTTATACTTCAGCCAGTGGCTGATTCTCTTATATGATAACCCAGGTTGTCAGTCAGCAAACATCCAGAAATTTCTTCAGAACATTCATAGGAGGAGATATCACCAAGGTCTGAAGTTACCTGAAAGTCATTTCTTAGGGTTTTTGTTGCTGTGAAAAGACACCATGACCACAGCAACTCTTGTAAAGAAAACATTTAAACAATAAACACTGGGGTGGCTTGCTTACAGTTTCAGAGATTCAGTCCATTATCATCATGGTGGGGAGCATGGTGGCATGCAGGCAGACATGGTGCTGGAGGGGAAATTGAGAGTCCCACATCTTGCAGGCAACAGGAAGTGAACTGAGACACTGGGCAGTATCCTGAGCAAACCTCCAAGCCCGCCCCCACAGTGACAGACTTCCTCCAACAAGGCCACACCTCCTAATAGTGTCACTCCCTAGGAGCCTATGGGAGCAACAAAATGTTGAGACCCTGCAAAGCATGCTCCACCAACCCCCAACCTACAGTCCACAGCCCGTTGTCAAGTCACTCGGAAGAATCTACAGACAGAGAGTAAAGATACAGGCTATGAGAATCACATTCTCTTCCCAGGGCAGAGGTGGGCCAAAGTGCACTTAAGAGAACAGGCAAAGCGTTCAGTACGTAATGGAGGGTTAGGAAGAATGAATGCAAAAGAATGAAACTCCCAACTGGAGAAGGAAAAGGATGGGGGGAATAAAAAGTAAATAATAAAAAGCGAAGAAAAAGATCACGAAGAGAAAAAGAGTTAAGAGTGTGAAGGCTGAGGGCCAGGCTCAAGGGGTAGAGTCCTGGCCTCAGAGCACAAGGGTTTGATCCCCAGCTCTGCAGAGAATTGACCATGGTGATTCAGTCATCTGAACCACACAATGAGATCAAGGCCTGGGCTGAGTAAATGCATCGTCTCACCCGACCCATACCACAACCCTAACTCTAACCCAACTCTGCTTAACCCTCCGCCCAACCACGTTCCAACCCTAACACTACACATGGCCCAGTCAGTACCCACCTCATTCTTGATGTAGCTGCCAGTGGCTCTGAGCTTCCTGGCCCCTACACTTCATGCCCTTTTTATTCAGATTTATATATTTTATTTTACGTGTATGGTGCTTCCCCTGCGTTATGTCTGTGCACCGTGTGTATGCAGGGCCCACCGAGGTCAGAAGATGGGGTGAGTCCCCTAGAACTGGAGTTAGAGATAGTTGTGTGCTGCTGTGCGGTGCTGCAAGGACAGCAAGTGCTGTTTGCCACCGAGCCATCTCTAGCCCCGTGCTCTCATAAACACACTTATTGTTTGGTTCTTGGAAACACCCTGCAGACTAACATATGCAGCAATTACTGAGTACCTACTGTATGCAAGATCCTGCCCTCCTCCCACCTGCTGGGATGGGTCTTCCTCTGTCTGTGAGACCACGGGGCTGACAGCACACACCCCACCCTAACCCCTCGTCTCTATGATCCCCAGGGACTACGAGCTGCAGACAATGACCCCACGGCACCCCCCTATGACTCTCTGCTAGTCTTCGACTATGAGGGCAGTGGTTCTACCGCAGGCTCCGTCAGTTCCCTGAACTCCTCCAGCTCCGGGGATCAAGATTATGACTACTTGAATGACTGGGGGCCCCGGTTCAAGAAGCTGGCGGACATGTATGGGGGTGGCGAGGAGGACTAGCCAGCCTCACCCCTCCCGCCAACATGAGAAGGGCACCCGAGGCTGAGCAGCGGGACTGAGCCAAGGCACCGGATTTGTCCTGGTGTCAAGAGGCCCCTCCCCACTGCCATCCCCCAGGTGGAACTGTGCAGTAGGAACATAGGCCACCAGGCGCCCACCACCACTGCGGCATCTCAGTAGCCACGAACCGCAAAGGGAGAGCCAGAGGCACAGCCCTAACTTGAATTTCTTACAACAAAAGCACTGTTAAAATAAAAAAAAAAAACAAAACAAAAGTGCCTTTTGGTACACGTGACAGATTCCCTAACTCAGGAGTGACTGAAAGAGGAGACAGCCGAGGCCCCAACTCTGCCCACCCTGCCCACAGCCCTGACCCCATCTGGTCCCCTCTGAAGGCAACATGCAAGGAGTGGGAGAGAATATGTCTTTTTTTTTAAAAAAAAATCTTTTATTAAGAAAAAAGGGGGGATGGCTTATTTGCAACAGTAGTATGGGGTCCAGATGGCCACAGCTTTTGTCATGCCCGGTCAGTGTCTCCTGGGCCCTCTGGGCTCTCCAAGGCTGCTAAGTGAGGATGAGACTTTCCAGTGCCAAGAAGCACTGGGCTAGCCCAACCCCATCAGCAGAGACTTCTGTGTGGACTCGGCTTTCACCTGAACTCATGTCCTGCCCACCGAGATACTGTAAATAGCTGGGGAGGGTGTGATGCCGAGAGGCCACCCCAGTTGGTCCTCACCTCTGCGTTTGGCCACTGCCATGTCCACCAGAAAGCTACTCTGGACCAGCTGTCACCCCCGGTACCACCAAATGGCTTTGGTAGGAAAGCGTGTTGTCCAGAAGCCACAGCATCCTGCCGAACCCTGGCAATACCCTTCACAAGGGATCCCGGTGAAGGCACAGCAATCACAAGCACCCCTCAACGGAACCCCCGAATGCTCTCAACCCACTCCCCAGGCTGTGCAGATGGCAGAGAGCAGAGCCTGTCAGACTGTGGCAGCTGCTGGGCCTCCTTGGGCCCATTTAGCCCAGGCTCCTGCCTGGCACCAAGAACTGCTATAGATGTCAGGCAAGACCTATTCTAAGTGGCCTGTGAGAGGTTCTCTCACTGTGCCCATGTGACCATAGACGCTCTGGCTTGGACCCACGTTTCCACTGTTCTCTGGATCTGGTATTGCACTTTCCGTGGGTAGCTTGACACAAGACAGGCTGAGCAGGGTGACCACTTCCGTAGGACAAGGACTGTGAGATGGCAAAGCTGCCTTTTTCACCAGAGGAGAAAACAGGCCTAGGTCATTCACATGTCTGGGCCCAAAGGAGCCCTGGGATGGGGCAGAAAGGCCACACTGGAGGGGCACCCTGTGCAGTTAGCTTCCTGGCTCCCCAAGAAGGAGGTTGAGAGTGCTGGTAGCTTGATGTCTGGGTCTCCTTGGGGAGACAACGGAAGTCCCAGCATTGATGAAAAATAAGTTCCTCCTGAATCCCCAGCCTATACCTACTACTAGGGGCCAGGATGGCTCCAAAAGGGCTGGGGGTACCCAGGAGATAGCATGCGCCCCAGCCAGTGGTCTCTAATTCATGGCTCCTCGTGACTCTGGCTTTACACTATGGCTAGGTTCACCCCCTTCTCCAGACTGCTTTGGATGCACCAGAGTGAACTCATAGGTGCTGAACTTATGGGTATGACCCATTGGATGTCAGGGTTCTTTCCCAAACCAAGCCTGTCCCCACTCTGAACTGCTAGACTTGCGCTGGCCATAAGTTCAGCTGTGTCCATTCTCACTGCTCCTATAACTGCCCTAGGAGGTAGGATGGACAGGGGCCTCTGTAGCTTCCTGGGAATCATCTTCCTTACAGCCAGCCAGGCCAACAGAGTTAATAGAATGCCAGGGGTGGGGAGGGGGCGGGTTGTGGAGATAATAAGCTCTCCTATGCAAATTGCTCGGGGGTCGGCAGTCAGTAAGGGTGGTACTGAGCTTGGCATGACCACTGGTAGGATGGCTATGGGTCAAAGCTGGGGGAATAAGAAGAATTTTCTGGGTTTGATTTTGGGAAACCCAAGAACCGTGAATGCTCTATTGAAAGTGTGCATATGATTGAGAAGTGTGCATGTGATATGGTGTCATGGACTCCTCTGAAGTCCCAAGGCCTTCTCAGAGCCCTGGGACGGGAGGGACCAAATCTATCAGCTATCTGGAGGAATGTCCATGGGGTTCCCTAAGAGCTGGACAGCTTACCCCTTTCACCCAACACCCCCAAATGGCCCCTGGGGCTAGAGAAAGATAGGGTTCCACGCATCCCCAGACTCATCTTGGAACTCTGTTCCAAGGCCAACAAGTTAGCATTAGCGAAACATACAGTCAGTGTCAAATGTTTCTCTCCCGTAGCTTGTAGATACGACACGTCTGTGGTCAGGGCCCAGCCAAACTAGGCTGGTGGTCAGCTCTGTGTAGTACGAGGACATGGTTTAGTTCCTCTAGGGAGAAACCTGCGCTGCTGAGCGGCTTGGAAGAACACCTGGGCACAGTCAGCCTCGCCACACCTGACTCCCAGCCAGCAGCTTTTCTCTCCCATGTCTTTCAGCCCGTCCAACATGCTGGGCCTCCTGCCACCAAAGTGTCTGAGTAATGGCCAGTTGTTAGGCCCTCAGAGATGCATCAATGTCCCCAGAGTGAGTGCATGGTCCACTGAGAGTGACACCTCTGTGCTCTCTAAGGTAAACGGGGAGGGGAAGTTCCCACTTCCACCCAAGCTGAAAGGCAAAACCAAAAACTCAAAGTAGAATCGCCCTGCACAGAGCGCCAGGTACGGTACCGAGCCGGCTCTGCCCCACCAGCCGGCCGGTGGAAACCATCTCCATGTATACCTGGAACGCATCTTGCTTTTTTCTTCCTCTCCTTTTTTTCATTATGGTTTATTTTGTTGCATGTTTATTTTTGAAAATGGACAAATGTGTAGCAGCCCGCATGACCGTGGTTGTTTTGGGAAAGGTACCAGAGTATGACGTGTTCACACTGCAGCTGAGCATCGTGCGGTGAGACAGATGTTCCGACTTTTTTGTAATTGTCAACAGCACAAATATTTTGTATTGTCGTTTGTATCATTTTGTATTGAAAAAAAAAGGGAAAAAAGGGAAAGAGTCGATGTTTCCAATGTGTTTTTAGTGCCAGGTGGTCTTGGTTCCGAAGGGAACAGGAGTTTTGCGGATTGTCGTGTCCTGGAGAGGAGTCGGGCGTTAGCACGCTGCTCCAAAGGAGGAAATAAAATCCCCTTTTAAGTCGTCGGCCTCCAACTCGTTTGTGTTCCCACACATTTCGGGATCTGACCGACTCAGGGCCATGGGCAGGACCTGGGGGCAGCTGGCGCCAGAAGTGAGACCGCGTCACACACAGCAGCTTCTTGGATCCCTGCTGTGTCAAAATTTGGGCACTGTTCTGGGCTCCAGAACAGAAGTATATCCAGGCCCACGCCTCACACATCTGAGGCCCACGTGTCCTGTGCGTATTTTAGATGTTTAGGTTATAAATCAAATGCATAGTTAAAGTGTGCTCGTCAATAAACACAACTTGGTGACACCACAGAAAGGCAGATGCAGACTGAGAGCAGGTTTTTTCTGTTTTATTTTTATGGTGCTGGGGATCAAACCCAACCCAGGGCCTCTCCTATGCTAGGCAAGTGCTCTACCACTGAGCCACATCCCATGCCCTAAATTTAGAATTCTCACAGTCAACGTGTGGCATGCAGGAGTGAACTGGGCTAGGCCTATGACCTTCCTACCCTAGCATTGACTGATGTGCAGGGAAGCTGGGGCCGGCACATGGGTACTCTGGTCTGCATGTGGCCTCTTTGCCTAAGCGTTCCTTCCCCCCAAACCCCTTGGAGCTTTAGACAGGTCCACTTTGTAAAAATAAATAAATAAATAAGGAAAGAAAAAAGAAAGAAAACTAAGGTGTCTTTAGATGGAGCTTGTACAGGCTGGGAGACCAGGCTGAGGTGATCTGGGATAAACACCAGGGTTCTGAGACCCTCGGTGGACTGAAGGAGGGATTGCATGGTCCCCGAGTACTGTGGATTCATTCCACTGTCATGGGGCACAGTCAAATCTGTCCTAGAATGCCCCCCACACAGACACTTGTATGTATACATGTGTATACATACACGAACACCTGCCTATATGTATACATATATATGTACATGCGCATGCCTGCTCACAGGTATATGTTGGTGTGTATGTAGACTGAGACTACGTGTTGGTTTCCTGGCCACCCAGACCTGAATAATCACAAGAAACTATATTAATTGCAACATTGTTTGGTCAATAGCTTAGGCATATTCCTAGATAGTTCTTACATATTAAATTAACCCATTTCCATTAGTCTGTGCATCACCACAAGACTGTGAAGGTTCCAGTATCTTTCTCCTTCAGTAGCTATACGGCATCTCTCTGACCCCACCTTCTTTCCTCCGCTATCTCTGCTTGGATTTCCTGCCTTGCTCTATTCTGCCCTGCCATAGGCCAAAGCAGCTTCTTTATTAATCATGATAATAAAACATTCACAGCATAGAGGGGCATTCCACATCATGTGTACATACATGGACACAGATAGGCCCCAACCACTGGCATTTTTCAGTGCAACCCATCCTAGCTATTGTTGGCATCATCAGGAACCACAAACCAGAGAATCACTCACAGATGATGCCTTGACCGGCTTCACTTTGAGTTCACCTGTGAGCCCTCTCTCCTCCCAGCCTGTTTCTGGGCCCTCATTTCCCCCTCACCTCTCTTCCTTCGCTCTTCCTGCTTTCCTTCCCTTCCTTCTTCCGGTCACTGCCTTGTCCCAGGCAGGATGTAGCAGGATCCATGTCCCCAGTCAGAACTGAACACTACTGGAGTTGGAAGCTTCACTGTGCTGGGAACAGGAGGGCCACACATCATGTCTGTACCACAGTCCTATTATTGGGAGCTAGATGGCTGACATGCCCTGCTCTCTGCAGACACAGGTCAGCATCAGCCAGCTTTCTACCATCTGGGGTTGTCACTCTTGGTCCCCAGAGGGCAACTTAGGGAGTCACATCCAGGCCTTGTTCTCAGTAGCCTCCAAAGCGTTCTGGCATGTTGTCCTATGCGTGGGGATGCTCTAACCATCTTCACAGTCTCCAGATCCATCCCAGAACTCTAGAAGCTGCCCTGCCTCACTGGTGGGGGGCGGAGCAAGGACAGAGATAAGTCCGCCCGTCTCAGGCGCCTCTGCTAGTCCCACAGAACCAGACACAGGAGGTTGGAGGCTGAGAGAGGAAGAGAAGCCTGAGACCTCCCTGGGGCCCTTGGTGGCCAGGCAAGGGTAGAGCCAGCAGGTGTTCCTGACAGCTTCCAGCTCTAAGTGACACCCACAGGGTTCACTGGAGCCACAAGTTCGGGGTCTGTTCCCACACAGCACAGAGGCGCCAGGCCTGGTCTTGGAACTGGCAACCACAGAACTGTGAGAAGTTAGTTTCAGGCACTCTGTTACAGCAACACAAAGGCACCAGCACAGGGCCCAGAACACCATCCGCACTCACCAGCCTGCTGCCAGAGCGCTATGTGGGGACTCCCATGCGCAGTCACATCCAGGAGACAAAGTTCCAACAGCCAGGGCCCACCTGGCACCATGTCCTTGATCGGTGTCATTTCCTTCCTCCTCAAAACCAGCCAGAGAGCCAGATGCCGGAGTCGTCAAGGAGGGCACCAATCCTAGTGTACCTGCCGTTTGTTCCGGCCCATGACTGGCAGCCTCTCGGGACTCTGAGGGGTTTTTCTCCTCTCGGGTTCTTCTGCCTCCATCTTTCTCCACTAAGCACTTAGCTAAGCGGCCAGCCTCTGTGTGTCCTCGGTTTGGCGTTTCTTTGCCCCAAAAGGACTCGCGCTCACAGAAATATTCATGCTGAAGCCTGTCTCCTGGAGACAAGCGTCAGCAAGTATCCATCCCTGGAGCAAGCCATGTGTCCCAGATCCGTGGTGTCAAGATGCCCTCTTGGCTACCCAAGTGACATAACTGCCCCCAGGCCACCAGTGGCTGCATCCAAAGGTGAAGGGTGTTGTGGACTGGACCAGGGTTTCCCAAGATAAATCTGCTTGGACGTGAGCTCGTGATGTGGTCCAAGTTTCCTGTGTGTGTGTGTGTCAAACCTCAGAGTCTCCCCAGGAATACAAGGAAAAGGACTGTCGTCCTGGGCCTGATCTTGGCTGGAGTCTTGGCAGAGCACTGGCTTCCACTCCAGCTCTTCCCAGCTTGGTAAACCAGGTTCAGCCACAGCAGTCCCCACCTGACCAGTGTGCCAGGCCCTTTGCCAGCAGCCCAATGAAGGTGAGACCCCCAACCAAGATATATATCACAGGTTCCCACAGAGGAATCGCCTGTGGCCCATAGGTGGCTCTCTTCCACTCCTGGCCCCTGACATCCCAGCTTTCCCAGCTAGAGGACCTCCTCAGCATCTTGCCATCTGGACTTCACCTTCCTGGGTAGCATGGGACCCTCCAAAGGCAAGGACAAGACTCTGTCCTACCCCACTGCCAGGAGCAACATGTAGCTTTCCCTAAGAGGCTCGTGGTGAGCACAGGCCACATAAGACCAGACGGCATTTGTTTCAGGATGGTAACCCAAATCCCAGTTCCTAGAAGTACAAGGAAATCTGAAACTCGGTGTGTCCCAGGGCTCAGGCTCGCCGGCTTCTCTCTCCCATGCCATGTGAGCATGCCTCTGATTCTCACAGTGGGAACCATAGCTGGCTTTGGGTTGCTCAAGCTTTCCAACTGACCCGGTTCTCTCCCTGCTGGCCCAGGTCCCCACAGCAGCTCACACCTTCATAGCCACACAACTGCACCCTGCCACATGAACCCACAGAGGCGAGGCCCTGGCTGAAGAGAAAACATGCCCACCAGGACCTCAGACCCAAGACCCTAGACCAGTCTAACCTGAAGATGTACCCTTTCTTTAAAAATGGCTCATTCTAGGGCAGTGGGCTCAGACCTGGACACCCAGCAGGCAACACTTTCCTCCAGCTCAGGAGAAGGTTACAACCTGTGCTTGGAGAAGTTGGTATCTATGATGGCATGCATAACAAAAAAAAATCACTCACGCAGTTAATTATGGTGCAACTGATAAGGGCAGGAACAATTAGCTCCGTGTTTATTTTGAGAGTGCTGAGCAGCTAATGACATTTACGGCTAGGCAACTGCTCTAGCTGGGAAAGACAATGGGGGCACACTCCTACAACCAGCCTCCTGGGACCAGCCACAGGATCCCTGTCCCAGCTCCAAGGCACAGGACTTGTTGGCCTAGAGGTAGGGTCTGGGAAAATAACCTGTAAAATCCGACTCAGGCCTTTTTCTGGGAGCCCAGAGACTCCTCTTCTGCTATGGGTGTGGGAGACCCAGAAACACCACTCTACAGGCCTGCACCGGGCACAGCCGCCTAACTGGTATTGACTTTAGAGGCAGCTGTCAACAAACTCAACAGCAGCATATGAGATGGAGGCCGGGTTCAGCCACCTCAAGAGACTGCACACCCACTGACATGCACACGTGTATGCACACACGCATGTGCGTGCACGCATGCGCACAGACACACACACACACTGTTCTCCTCAGCCTATCACAGGCTGTCAGGCACTGCTCGAGGTACTCTTGTGACTGAGAGGAGCAAGGGGAGGCACCAAGGTCTCCATCTGAGAAGCCTATCCTTGCAGGGCCTAGCCATACCCAAGACGTCCATATGGGCCTGAGTCACTCAGAGTCAATACTCTGTGGGGAGACTTCCAGAGTCCCGGCTGAACAAAGTTTCCACCCTATATTTTGAACATTACAAATTGAGATCTTAAAGATCAATCCTTGGGGAGCTGGAGAGATGGCCCACAGGTTAAGGGGGCTGAGGGGCTAGGGAGACGGCTCAGCAGTTAAGGACAATTGTCGCTCTTGCAGAGGACCAGGGTTCAAGTCCCATTACCCACACAATGGCTCACAACCATCTGTAACTCTAACTCCAAGGGATCTGACGCCCCCTTCTGGTCTCCACAGGCACTGCACACATGTGGTACACAGACATACATGCAGACAAAACACTCATGCACATACTGGGGGAGGGAAGGTTCAAGACAAGGTTTCTCTGGAAAGCCTGGCTGTCCCAGAACATACTCTGTAGACCAGGCTGACCTCAAACTCAGAGATCCATCTGCCTCTGCCTCTGCCTCCTGAGTTCTGGGATTAAAGGTGTGTGAAATCACTGCCCAGGTAAAATTTTTAA